TGTTTTTGGCGTGCACTATGCTCACTCTGTTTCCCGCACCCCCAAAAATAAACTCTATAATCAAGTAAACCCACCATTCGCTGTGAATATTTTATAAATTTTCTATTTAAGGTCGGACACACAACCGAATGGATTATTTCGATAAGTATTCTACATGGAAAATTTATAAATCTCTCTCTCTCTCTCTCTCTCTGTTCCACGAAACGAGGTAGAATGTATGCATTTTTCTTGTTTGAAACTTTGGACAGGCGAACATCGTTCGCTCTCCACATGTGATAAATCTTTTTGGGCGAATAGTTTGGCTGTGTTCGGCCGATGGAACGAAAAGTGAGGTAGAAAAATGGCCACCAGTTAAATTAGTCAACAATGGGTGAGTGAGTGAGAAACAGTGCTGCGGAACCAAATCGAGATAATGGCGAACAGACTAATGTGTCGGTGGCAACATTTATTTCATGAGCTGGGTCGGAAATTTATCGGTTTGCCTGCATTCGCATACACACATTATTAGAAAACGATTTCGGCGATGTGTGTGTGTGGTGGCCGAGCCCGAAGGTTTGCATCCCCGCAATAATCACAGAAACACTTCCCATAATTTTCGTTTCGGTGGTAATTCAATAAAAGGATTAGATAATCGCGTTTTAGGCGATTTCATTTCGTCGTACTGCGCCGAACCATTTATTAATGTAAATTGGAAAAGCCAGCTTTTGCAGGGTAAAACACACAGTAGCAGCATCGGCAGTGACTGCAGAGAAGCATCAGCGATTAAACAAGATACGAAACGAAAATGACAACCGACAATTACATGTGTAAATCTCGAAATGTGATTGAGCAGCGAATGACCGAGTGCGAGGGAGTAAGCAAGCACGCGGCACGCGTCATTTTCGTTTTACTAGATCACTTAATGGGACATTATTAGTAAAGTAGATTAAATGTGGTGCATGCTATGCATATGGGGTGACACACTCTTTTTCTGCGTATCGCCTCTCCGTCGAAAATTCGTCAATTCTGGCAGCCACCGTATGAACATCGCCACATCTGTTAAGGGCAACCGGCAAACAATTTTATGCGGTGCAAATAAAGACTATTTTATGGTCGCCGGTGCAAGTGTGTACATATAACAAATAGAAGATTATTCGGAGAGGTTCGTTGACACGTGCCACACAAAGTTTCGCAATAAATCTTCCCCACCGCTTGACCGAGAAAAAAAAAACACCAGTCACTTTAATTGATTTCGGGAAGATTTGCACTCGCATAATGTGATTTACCGGATTTTGCTCATTTATTTTATCGTCGCTCTGTCTCTCTCTGTTTCACTCTCATTGTTTCTTTTTCTCGCTGACATACTGATGATTGTGGTGCAAATTTTCGGCAAGAATAACGGTGACAAGTTCAAGTTTCACTATTTTAAGCTTCAAAAATGAAAGGAAATGAGTAAAAACTAGGACAAAAACTGACAAAAAATGACAAAAATCCCACGAAGAAGCTGAATAATTAACAAATCGAAAGAAATTACTGCATTGCTATCCATATGAATATTTGAATTTTGTATGCGATCTAATTGAAAATCCACGTCACTGTCTCCAAATTGCATACGCAATTTTCCCGTTTTTGAATATTAAGCGAATCGGTTTTGAATAATTCAATTTATTTCGTAACCTCATCCATATGCTTTCGTGCATAGTGATCGCACGTTTGAGCTCCGTTTCAGATAGTTTCAAATTGAATAAATACATGATGGTGCGGCATGTTTGGTCAGAAAAAAAAGCATCACAAAAATAACAGATGCCAAACTAAATAAAGAGAGAGAGAGAGAGAGAGAGAGAGAGGGGGGGAGAGGGAGAGGGAGCGAAAGAGAACCTGAGAGTCATTTGATGTTTAGTCTAAAGTGTTGAATTGCATAAAAAGCCACAATAGTCGGAGTGGAACGCTCAACTCTTTGATACAGCTCGGTCGCCAACAGCAATGAAACAAAACGCCAGCGTATTGTGGATGGAAGCAAAAAAAAAATACACGATGAGAGAGAGCGAAAGAGGAAGATTTTTCTCTCTGTGGTATGGTCGGGATTGTCGCTTTAGCTGCAGCTAGTTTGCGTTATCTCTATTGTAACTTTTCGCTTACTGGTGGATTCCGTTTGTTTAAACAACCTGTTGAGTGAGACGATGTGGCACTTCAGAACGTAAAATAGACACGGTATTTTTATCAATCACGTAAAAGATGTTTTTTTTTTTCTGTTCACTTTGGTGGAGCAACACTTGACTATACAAACAAAAGATAAAAGTTTTCAAAAGACTTTTTTTTCAGTTGGAATAGAAGATGGAAAAAATGGGAAAGTAGATAGTAGTGGATAAAAACCATTCAGTAGTTTTCAAATGGGTTGTTATGCCACTGGAAGAAGGTGTTATTAAAAATGAATATTTGTCCACATTTAAATATTTGATATAGTGGTCATGTTAGACTGCGAGACAGAAAGAAAAAAAAACATCGACCAAAATCGAAATGACTGTGTTATTTCACGATGAACGAAATGATATGGTATCGTTAGGTGGCCATTGTTGAATTTTTGAAACAACAAAACCAATGTTTAGTTTCCAATGAATAAATGATGGAGTAGATAAACAATATTTTGATGGTCTGTCGAATTGTGGTAATTAACGGTAAATGAGATCTCTTGTTTATTGTTTATGCCATTAGGCAATTCCATCGCGAGTGATTTTTTCCCCTTACGCATACACCCATTCTTTCTTCGTTTCTTTTTTCCTTCTTTCCTACGCATAGAATTCCTTTCGAGCATTGTATTGTTTTAAGTCTGTGACGTTATCCGGTGTCATTAATAATTCATTGGTGAAATGGTGAATAATTTCGGTACGGAATAAGGTGCTAACAGGGTTCGTTGTGATGGTATATTGATATTAAACACTTTTCTGCTCAAATGACTCAGGTAAATATTAGTTATCGTTTGTTCAAATAGAACTGAGTGCGTTCACTATTTGCTACGTGTAGTGGTGGTATGTGCTAAGTTCTTATTGGATTACAGCGACACGGTCATGGTGAATGGCTATCGGTTGGATTTAAATTTCAAGCACCACTCGACAACTCTCTTACTGTCAAGTATTGCAGGTCATTATCAGTGTTTGACCATTTTATATACTCTTGACCGTTCAACTGAACTTCGCTATGTTCAGTGCAGTCATTTCAGCACTATAAAGTGATTTTAATAAGCTTTTTTGCCCATATAAAAATCACAGATTTTCTAAACGTTTTTTCCATAATGTTTTTTTTACTTCAATTTGTTTCGTACAAACAAATTCCCATGGATATGCTCCCGGTGATAAGGCACATTTTACATCAACTCTTTGACTCCAATTCAACTTATATAATAATTAAAAAAAATCTGCTTAATTACGCAATATATGTCCATCGCGTCGCTTTTGGTGTTTCAGACATATTAAAAAAATCAGTGAAATGAAAACAAACAGAAAAAATGTGGGTGTGCACTGTGCAATCGTTCATTGCACACGAAGGATAACGAACAAACATTAACAGCGTGTTCATTTTATATATATGTATATATCATTTATTCATTAGGCGCATTCATCCATTACAAATCTGCACACATCAAATCAAGCAGACGCCAGCCAACAGAAATAATTAAAAAAGTGTTCACAATTCACGCAGAATTCCATATTCGAAGTAAATATAGTGTTAATTGCGAGAGAAAATGTGATGGGATAGAGCAGAGCGAAGCGAATGAAAAAAAACACTCTGGGATTAAATGGTCAAAATGGGGAAGGAGAAGAATATCATTTATAGTTGGGTCATCATATATGGCAAGCGAGAACACGCGTTCGCAAACAAAGGCAAAAGGCTCATGAATTGCTTAAAACCTTCAATTTTTGACGCAGATTTTTTTTCTGCCTGGTTGGCCTGTTTTTAGTGGGCCAGTTCAATGGCTGGCTTGGATAAATGGCCCACCATCACCACCTCCCTCGCACCCAATTCTCTTTGTCGCATGTTAAATGAAAGCAGGAATGTAATTTCCATTTTATTAAAATTAAACCAAATGGCATTCATTCAGTACATTTTCATGTTGGACACAAAACGCAAACAGTTGCAGATGCAACCGCACTAGAATGTCGATGCAGCCGAACCGCACTACACTGCAGCTAAAAACTCGATACGTACATACATTTACGAGGTGCAGCAGACTGAAATTATAGCAAATTCATTTTTTTTCCTGCCTCGTCTGTGTGAATTGTTATGTTATCACTAGAAATTGCGAAGCTAAATGCAAAAATGAAATGTGCTGGCCGCGTACAATTTTTTTTTTCGTGCCTCTTCTTCTCTTGTATGTCTGTCTGGGTTTGGTTCAATATATATTCGGCAATTCATATCAAAAATTAAATGGCCATGAGACTGAAACTTTTCCAAAATCGCAATAAACGCAACCATTTTGCACATCATTTCGAATGACTACAACCATAAATGACTGTGAGGCCGAAATAAAATAATTATTGACACTGGGAATTCGTCGTCGGTTATAGAACAATACATAGACGCATTGAACGTGAAAAAAACACACGGACAGCAAACGTTTCATTTTTAGGAATATGCGCTTGAGGCTGCAGCATGTTGGTTTTAATGACAACCACGGTGGTTTTTTGCACATACATTCAAATCGAATGCATTCTAAATTTTCGAACAGATGACAATGCAGATGTAGTATCAATAACCAGATAGACGAGAACAAAAAAAAAACTCCAAACACGATGATTTTTCCAAATTAAAGAGACAATTCAAACGGGCCAGAATTTAAAATGAATTCAAAGTGATTTATTTTTTAACCCTTTGGTTTAGCCCATGTATTCGATTGTCATCGGTTAGATTATCTCGAGGTTTTTTGCTATTGCTTTTTTTATGTTGTTATATTGTTGTTGTTGAATTTAAACAATAAAATCAACCTCAAACATTGATCAGGCATGCCAATGAAATGATTTATTTACCTATGACTTCCGACAGTGCTCCATGCACGTTGAGCTGCATCGTAAACATCACCAGCACGGCGGCCAGCAATTGATGAATGATCCCGACGTTGGCAATCATTTTGCGTTGCACGCGCACTTTTTTCGGTTTAAATCACACTTTTTCAGTATTTATTTATTTTTGCAAGTAAATAAACAAACGGACACTCAAACACATGAACATACGCGCGCGTCCCTTTTTCAAACTTTCGAATTAAACTGAATGACAAAATTTAGAGACAACTCGTAGTTGATTCACGTTTATCTTATTTATATTTGATTATTTTACAATGTTTGTGTCTTGAATGGTCGTGGCTGGGTTATAATTTTTTTTAACGAATGATTTCGTTTGTCACACGCATGCACCTTGTCACAGATGATTTTAATATCATTGAAATCATTGTTTTATTCATTGGATTTTGTCCGCTGTTCAGTCTGTGAATTACGATTTCGATTTAGACGGTAGACTCATAAATTTTTTTTGTTCTGTTCTGTTTCGATTGATTTTCCCGACCGTATTTCTTATTGTTTAATGTATTTGGGGACTTCAGTACTTTCTCTCTGTTATTTGTATCACTTTTGCGTTTTATTGTAGTTTTTCTGTTTGATGTGTTTGTGTGTGGGTTAGTTTTTTTTTTCTTCAATTTTTGTTGCGCTCATACATTATTTCCTTGTTTGTTATGGTGTTTTTTATGCATAGTTTTTGTTCTCTTCGTATATTTTCACTTGAATGCGGCTGTATGCCAGCCGCGCGGCAGTTGTTCGTCGTCGCTTGTTCGTCTTGTTCTCTTTTTTTGTTCAGTTTTCGATAGAGACAACCAAATGTGTACACATCGTCTTTTGCCGTCATCAACTCGGCTCGGTGCAAGCAATGACGACCAATTCAACACGCAAACTAAATTCTCAACCGAATAAATGCCATAGTTGCGAACGCGTCGTTCACATTCGCTTCGTGTTATTTTTTCTGCTTGAAATTTTCTATTTTGAGCCGTTGATTTGTTTCGACGATGTCGTTCGTTCGTTCAGAGAACTCCCCTCAATCGGTGTGGATATGTGTGTGTGTAAGTGTATTGCCGTCTTTCGGTGTCTTTATTATCGTGTGTTTGATATGAATTTCGAAGTGTGATTATTTATTATTTTATGTTTTGTTTCCTTGGAGTTATTTGATGATTGGTCGTTTTTTTCCCTCTTCTTCGGATGACTTTTCGATTGAACCGTTTGTGGGCTGTGTGTGTGTGTCTGCCAAATAAAGACAAAAACTGATAAAATAAATGCGCTATAAACTTCATGCTAATCTAAATCTATGCGAGAGTGTGTGAATCAATCGAGTCGTCGAATAGACTATCTACGTCAGTTTCGGAGACTTTGATAATGATTTTCTAGTTGCGTGAATTGAACGACTTCTTTGCACAACCAACACATATACGATCGAAAAAAAAAGAAAATTGCCCAGGGTTATCGCTCAATACTAACTAATTTGCCTTTTAACCTTGATATTTATACCAAAAATCAAACAAACTTGAGACAATTAGGCGCATTCTCTTTCGCCTGCTTCGCCTCCGCCTCCGCCTCATTTCATTCACTCGCATAATTGTGCACACATTTTGCCACATTATCAACTAATTAAGTCGTGGAGAATGCAAAGGGAAGGAATCGAAATGCGAGCGAAAAAAAAACTTCGCATCGTAAATCGAACAAGGGCGAAAATCAATAGATCCATTTTCAAGTGATTGACGTTCAACTCGAGCGCTATATTCATTATTCTGCCATTATGCACTCGACTGCAATACGAAAACCAGCTTATTATGCTCAATTGCATCGTTAAACATTTGATGGAATAGCGAAGACGGCAAAAAATGCGCCAAGAAATCATATTAATCAGTTAAATATCGCTTGTGCTCAATTGGTAAAAGATGGAAATGGTTTTTTTCCTCTGTATCTGCACCTCAGCTGCGTAATTTCTCTGTTCATCTTCGCGTAAAATAGGAAAATATTTTGTTTTCCTCTTGTTCGAAAAGCGCATACATATCGCAGAGTATGCTTCTTGTTATCTGTTCCATGTTTGTTTGTAACAAAATGCTCCTGAAGGAGTGTGTACTGTGTACTCAGAAGCTGCTATTCACAAGCTCTGCATGCTCTTTTTGTTGGCATTTCTAAGTTTTGCGTGTGGCATTATGGCACTTAAATGAAATTAGAGCTGAACTTTTGACGGCGTCAACAAAAATAGGTCGATATGGAAAACTTCGGAGATGCCTCTTGAACGCGAACGAGAGCGCGAGCATTCGACGGCAAGCGCATCGAACAATGTTAATGCTTGCCAGAAATTGCGAGAAACTAATCACTAATTGAGTAGTTGCATTGTAGATAGTGCAAGAGTATTTGTGGATGAGAGAGCGCGTGAGACGCGCATTTGTTATCGCGATTCGAAATGCAATCGTATTTACTGGAGCACTTCTGATGGAATGCCAATTGTTCAAATATGCATCCGGCCCTAATGCAAACTATACAATGCAGAGCCAGTGTCGAACACTTTCAACTTGCACTCACTCTCTCGCCCTATCGCCCGACACTTTTAGTTTATAAATTTACATTAATTTATATGTTTGTTTTTAATTACAGATTTCTTGTTGTTGTTATTGTTTCGCTATATGGGGATTTTCGTATTTACTTGAGCAAATATCCGAAAACCGAATTGCTACAGAGTGTGCAACATGCATTCGTAACGAGAGAGAGAGAGAGAACGATTGGAAGTGAGAGCGAGAGAGCGCGCGCGCTACCACCGCATATTCATTACTTTCGGCGAGATAAACAATAGAAATCCAGTTGCGGAATGTTGTGTGTATGAGTTATATTGCAAAATGTCATAACTTTCGATATGGTTATTTATTTACATGTCACACATATCGAGAGCAAGCAGCAAAATTCAATTGAACACACACAAACAATACACTCACTCACTCACTCGTACGTACACACAAAACTGTAAACCAGATACTGTCTGATTTCGCTTCAACTCTTCGTGTTCGAACTTGCATCAGGCAAATAATTTGTTCCTTTTGTTTTCCCATATTTATTTTATGCGATTCAAATATAATTTTTCTGGCAAATATTTGAAATCGGTTTCAACGAATTCTGGTGCAATTTCAATGCTTTTTGACGAAAACGAGCGAGAAATAATGAAAATTAAATTCATTCCCAAATTGAAAAACATATTTTTTCCATCAACTCTTCTCTCTCTCTCTCTCTCTCTCTCTCTCTCTCTCTCTCTCTCTCTCTCTCTCT